CTTGAAAAGCATGGTAGGCTATCAGATACATTTATTTAGTGCTTGGTAGGCATCCTATTCATCACATTGCCAAACCGTAGTTAATTTAGCAATAATAAAACTGATATGTACATAGTTTTAGCTTTTTGTGAGTTGTAGAGACCAGCTACTTGGTGTTTAGTTAGTTTACTTGTACTTTGATTCTTACTTAGAATTACTTTTGTATAGTGAACCGCATATTTGCTGTTTGAACTACCTGGGCATATTAGAGAAGTACGTTGGATTTTAGTGACCAAGTAATCCCAAGGCTCCACTAGAAAACATGCCATGCAGCTTCGTGGCCTGTTTTCTAGAGGGTCCTTGGTAGACCCTTTCAGGTGGTAACGTGTATTGAGGTTACAATTGTCAACCTTTGTGTTACTCTCAGCTGCGAAGTCAGCAATGACCCCATAAGAGAGTAGAAATTCGACCGGCGCAGGTCTAGTAGTGATTTGGTGCACGATTGTTTGGTGACTTAATTTGACTTTTTCCCAGTAGCCGTCTATGAGTCAGTCTACGTCCATCAGACCCGCTAAAAGCGCTGGTCCTTTTTGTGGTTCCCTTATCGCAGAAACTGCAATTTCACTTATCTGTTTTAGGCTGAGCTATCTCAGCAACATTTCTACATTCCCCCTTGGAAAAGTACGTCGCAAACTATATCTATAGTGACCCTTTAAACTGTTATACTATCAGTTTATGTTTCATTGTATTTATTTATTTCATTTAAAATATCCAAACGTGCTGAAGATCAAGATCGAACAACAGCAAGATAATAATAAACGAACACATAAAATGTGTTTACACTACGTTTGGTTATACTGTACAACTTTAGAGGTATAACTCTCCCTTAATATGGAGGTATTTATATAATTTAAGATTAATGCTGAAGTGAATAATGTTCTAAGTTAATGCCTTGCTCTTTTAAAAGATCAAGTAAAAATCAAAAACACCAGATTATCCTGCTAACGATTACCTGCTATCTATTTGTATAAGTGCTGCATTATCAAATGTTGATAAGAAAAACTAACGCCCTCAAAGGAATGTAAACTCCTTTTTCTTTTTAGAGGTGTTTGGATGACAAATTACTAGTGGAAGTCAGAAAGTCTACTATAATATTTCTCACTTAAAGCCTGGAATTCAAGCGAGCACTGTAGATACGCAAACGCATATCGGGATGGGGCCTAAATGAAGTGATACGCTTTTATATGGGGTCCATGCTATATTTTTTTTTGCATTCTAGGAATAAAGCAAAACAAAATTGCCAAGTTAGGGATATTAACGCTTGTAGATTATACGTGGGCTTGTTGTCCAAGCATACGCTTCAATGGAAGTAATAACATGGGTGTCGTCTTAATTATTATGTCTCAATATGAAGTCTTACTATGAAGACACTAATCAGAGGCCTGTTTGCATTTTACAATTGACAGTTTAGTATGAGTGTCTACTTTTATAACTAGTATGCTATATTTTTCATTAGCCAAAACACTGGTTAATAAAGCTTACTCTGATACACAAACACAGTTAGTTGATGATTAATTTATTATTTATTTTCTTATTTTCTTATTTTTATTCTTATTGAAACAATTGAATAGACGCTATTACGATGCTTTGTGATCATTGCTGACAAAACTCATATACCATTTTAATGACAAAATAGCTCTTGAATACCTTTTACATTTTCCCCATTGACAGACATGGCTTGGAGCTTTTGCAGGATCAATTCTACATCTCTAAACTGGAAACTTAACATTTTTTTTGTTTTAGCAACAATACACTATAGCTTTTGTAAAATAATTTTGTATAGTAGCTATACTAATACATAATATATATTTAGACAAAGGTTTATGGATTTCCTATATACAATATCAGTAAAAGCCCAAGGTTTATGATGGAAAGCCAGATGTGGTTGTAAAACAAAACAATATTTGGAACTCCGTAGCTGCGTACCGTACAGCAGTCATGTTTAGGTTATTGTCTATACAAAACACACCTTAAGAAAATCTTGGAAAATAAATGTGCTGAAGTAATAGCTTATAATATCACTTCTTAATACACCTTAGCACATTTCTTTTCACAACACACCGTGCTTTTCTTTGCAGTATATCTATACTATAATTTACTCTTCGGCTAAGATGGTGTTTGACAAATTAATATTTTTTGTCATGAAATGTCATCTCCCTGAACTAATACGCTAATACATCATTGGTCCCACATCAATGAAAATCAATTCCTCAACCAGACTTAATGGGTATATGCGGAAAGGGCAATAACTATGATAATGGCTCTTCTGAGATATGTGACGAAGGGACATTTCCTCTGGAAGTTAGGGTAATAGTTAATAAGGACGGCCTTTTGTAACATATAAAGTGAAATAAATAAAATTATTACTAAGGCTAGAATGTTTGGTTGTGACACATATGGCAAATCTTTCTATTAGGAAGTGGACATTGCCACACTAAGACTACGGAACAGTTGTTATTTTCTGTTTTGGAGTCCTAGTCAATCTACAAACAGCCATGTATATATATGTTTCGCTTTATACAAAGTATTTTACGTGGGAATGCACTATGAATAAAGTTCAATAATATTCCCAATAACTATGAAAACCCTTTACTAAATATCATCGTAAATTTACACGTGATGGGTTTAAAAAAACATAATTTTTTGTTGAATCTGGAAATAGGATAAGTATTTTAGTATTTATAGTACGAAGAAAGTTATATAAATAAAATCAGATTAGAAAAATTTCCTAATAGGTTAAATAAATAATAGGTGTTTCAATTATGTAAGTAAACAGTTAACTGACTTTTTCAGCAGTACTTTGTTATAGTAAGACGTAGTAAAGTTTTAAACCATACTTCACAATGTTTGAACAACTTCAATTGATTTTAAAGATATAGCGATTTGGTATACTAGTTAATGTAAACTCTCTAATCCATTACATTTTTGGGGCTATTAATTTAAGAGAAAGTTGCTAGGATTTCTATGCAACCAATGCATGATATAAAAAATACATCCAATATTCCTACAGCCTCTGAGCTAGAGTTAAGTAGAAGCACTCTGCGATATTTATTGGCCAATATCTGATATTTATTAGACCTGGGGCAACATCTTAAATCAAAAGGCTTATTATTGTATCAGGTTCTGGTTTGAGATGTTTTAAACTTACCTTTATTTATCTAATTAGCTAAAAAAAACTTTATAATTGTATTTTATTTGTTGTGTCGTCCCAGATTTGTGACGTAATTTTCCTAGCGGACGACAAGTGGGAAATTACGCCACCGGTAACAAAACGAGGATCCCAGGATTCGCCCTAGTCTGGTCGCGGGGAGTTTCCCAGGAGTCGATAGTGATTCGGATAGCCTAAGTTTGATAGCCCTGGTTGTCAGAGCTCGAGACGAACGTGGCGGGTTACTAAACACCCTACTCGAAATCACCACTCTAGCCTAGGGCTTGTGGGGAAATAAATAATTTTGACTTGACTCTGTGGGCAAATATCTAAATGACACACTACTAGCTAACTTAACAAATCAACAAGTAAGCTAAGTAGTCACTCCGCTTACCTACGGAGTTACGTCGTTAACCTGAAACAAACAAGGTTAGTACAAGATAGGCCTAACCTAGCCTAACTCCCACAGAGTCTGAATTTACTAAACAAGAAAACGAGTTGGCTTAAGTTGTCCAAGTGAGACACGAAACGAGAGAAAAACTGAAACTAAAAATAAAACTGCTCCTTGAGCCGAAAACGAAAAATTAAAACTTTAACTTCCTCACGTGTTCAACTTAAACCAACTTCGACAGAAAATGTCCAGCAGAAACCTGTCTGCTGGAACAAGCTTTGGGACGTTTGGGGAACTTTAAAAAGGGTTTTTAAAAATTAAAAGAAAGTCCCAAGACGGATTAAGAAACGTTAAGCGAAAATATATTTCACCAACTGCAATACTTTACTAAATTAGTTGGTTAAGGCGTGTGACTAGGTCTGCGTATCAGGCCTAGTCTTCAAGTTCAACCAAGCTTCGTACACGAAAGCTGGTCAAGTAATATACGAAAACCAGAGAAGTTAACTACGAAACTCACCAGTCGACGAAATTATAACCCACTATGTTCCTGCACAAGTTCACTACAAAACTATTCGAACTTAAGCTTTCAGAGCTTGCTGAAACGTAACTTTAAAAACGACGAAGAAATTGAATGAAATCACTTAGAATTCAAGACGAACGAACGAACTCGCGAAAAGCCGGGAATACGAATGACCAAAACTTCACACAACTTCTTCTTACTTCACCTTCGTCTCAGAATCGAGACGAAAGTTAAAACGATTCCTGATTGGTCAACGAGTTACCGAAACAAAAAAAAAACTGGCAGCGAAGGCAGGCGCATGGCAGCTTTAACAGGCTTACAGCCGCGTACCGCTCAAAGGTGACCTCGCTGCTCATCTTCTCTCCCGTAGCCCGGCCTCAGATGCAGTCGAACAGCCAAACAACCAAACTGACACCAACGTCGTCTGCGGTCTTGGAATTGGAGGTTAGGTACGACGTCAGTTTAGTGTCGCGACTAGGCTTACTCAACAGCTTATGTTTAGCTGTTTAATGTTCGTGGTCTAGATCGTTATATTTTTACCCCCCTACCCATTTGACTCGTTACACCCCCTCCACACTTCGGAACCAAAAAAAAGAAAACCGAGAAAAGAAAAAAAACTGTTGAACTTTTCTGTAGATGGCACCACAGTAGGATCGTGGTTAAGGATGTTGACGACGAAAAGCGGACGAACCTAGAAATGAGGTAGACAGTCTGAGGCCTAATCGCCTCAGAGGTCTAGACGGAAATGACTCGGAGCGAAGAAAACCGAAGATGGTGGGGTTGACGAAGGTAGGGTAGTACGGATTTATCACCCCTGGCAGGGGTTATTCTGCGGATTATATTAGCACCACCTCCCAGGTGGTTATTAGGAGTCGACGGCCCCTACAACTGCCCAGGGCGGTTTAGCGGGGTCGATTGCCTCCTTGCTGCTGGAAGCGCCGCCTCAGCTCCGGCAGTCGGCCTCGGACGACTCGCAGCACCTGGCTCGGTCGCAGCCGCACGTATCGGTCGCCTCCCAGCATAATTCTCCAGCGTTTGTTGCGCCGCTGCTCCGGTGTGAGCTGGTTGTAGGCGGCTACCAGCCGTAGTAGGACTGCCCGGGACAGCGGAAGGGCGTTCCCGGTGACCGTCTCTTCGGGCTCTGTCCGGCGAACAGGGGCTCGGGCCAGGCCACTCGGTCGAGCTGGTTCCCAGATGATGGGGGACGGTCTGCGGCGCGCTGGGCCTGCTCCGGCTCCAGCTGGTGCTTCTCCCAGACGGGGGCGGCGAGGAGGGGAGTCGCGACGGCGACGCTCGGGCAGGCGACGAGTCGGCAAGACAAGACGTGGGCGAGGCAGTGCGGCGGGGCCAGGATGGCGACTGGGTGGCGAGGCGGGACGGCAGCTATGACGGGATGAAGAGACGGGACGGCAGCTATGACGGGATGAAGAGACGGGACGGCAGCGACGATGGGGCGGAGAGGCAGGACTGCGAGGATGACGGGGCGGGGAGGCAGGGCGGTGATGACGACGAGACGGAGAGGTGGGGCGGCGATGATGACGAGATGGAGAGGCGGGGCGACGAGGAGGACGAGATGGAGAGGCGGGGCGACGATGAGGACGAGGTGGAGAGGCGGGGCGACGAGGAGGACGAGATGGAGAGGCGGGGCGACGATGAGGACGAGGTGGAGAGGCGGGGCGATGATGATGACGAGATGGAGAGGCGGGGCGATGATGATGACGAGATGGAGAGGCGGGGCGACGAGGAGGACGAGATGGAGAGGCGGGGCGACGATGAGGACGAGATGGAGAGGCGGGGTGATGATGAGAACGGGGCGGAGAAATCTGAATCCGCCGCCGAGGTGACGAAGCGAACCGGACTCGGAGCGGAGGCGACGCAGCCGGCGGAGAGACGACGGCCGGCTGGGGATCCACCGTCGGCGAGGTCGGTCGGTCGGGCTGAGGAGACGGCTCCGTGGCCCGTGGCGATGATCGGGCCGGGACCTCCCCCTCCTCGAGGTCCGAGCATTCCAGGTCGAGGACGTCCCCGGGGTCCACCCGGAAAGGCCAGGACCAGTTGGCCGCCAGGAAGTCCCCGATCTCCTGGTCCAGCACCATGTCCTCGGGGTCGAGGATGTCTCGGCTCGGCGTAGACGGGCGGGGATCGGATGCCATCGTACCTACCCAACAAAACCAGAACTAAGCGGGACCATGCAAGCTAGGTACTACAAGCTAGGTACAGGTGCTACAAGCTAGGTACGGGCGCTACAAGCTAGGTACAAGCACTACAAAGCTAGAAGGGAAATCAGTTAAGGGATAAGGTAGGCTATATTAGTATATAAGAGTAAAATAAAGCGTCACTACAGAGTTAGTTAGTAGCCACAACTAAGCTCCACCACCTTACCACTAAACGCGCGCACAGAAAGGTTTTAGGTCTTTGGCATGGACCACATGCACCGCCGCGGAGTCCTCATCACGCACCTCGTAAAGGTTAGTTCCCCGACAGCCAACAACTGTGCAGGGGCCGCGATATTTCGGCGCTAACTTCCCGACAATCGCGTCGGCAGCTGAAGACAATACGTGAAGTCGTCGCATCACTCGCGCGCCAACTTCGTGCGTCACCTCCCTACGACGGAGGTTATAATAGGTTGATTGCCTTTCGTAGGCGGCCTTGAGGTTCTTGCGTGTCTGCGCGATCAGACGCTGAAACTCATCCAGTCGTTTGCGATGGGTCTCGCTTAACGAGGGACTTTGGGGAGTTTCGGACACCTCAAACGAAGGGCCACGGACGGCACAGGGAGGTTTCAGTTCGCGACCAAAACACAGCATCGCAGGAGTGAATCCAGTAGAGTCGTGGACAGCTGTGTTCAGGGCGTACTGAAACTCCACCAGGTGGTTGTCCCAAGACCAATGGTTGCCTTTTACGAACTGCGCAATCATAGTCTTCACCACCCGGTTTTGCCTCTCGACTGGGTTTGACTGCGGGCTGTAAGGGGCCGTTGTCTGTAGCGTGATGCCCCAATCAGCAGCCAACTCTCGAACCAGTTTACCGACGAACTGCGTGCCGTTGTCCGTAATCAACACATCCGGAGCTCCATGTCGAAGAAGGATAGCCTTTAGCTTCGTCACCACATTCTTTGCGGTTGCAGACGCAATGGAGGCGAGTTCCGTCCATTTGCTGAAGGTATCCTGCACCACGAGCAGAAATCGCTGACCCCGCTGTGATCTAGGCAATGGGCCTACTAGGTCAGCAGACACTGCGTACCACGGTCCTTGGGGTTGTCGGAAGTACATTTTCCCAGCTGGTTTCGTTTGGGGTACTTTATAGGCCTGGCATTGGGCGCAAGACCGTACATAGGCCTTCACCTCACGACGCCAGTTAGGCCAAAAGTACTCCCCACCAACTCGGGCTAACGTCTTCTTCACCCCAAGATGTCCTGCCGTAGCCGTGTCGTGATTTTCGTGCAGTACCACGGATACTTGGTCGCTTGGCACACACACCCTCCATATCGTAGGTCGATCCTTCTTCGAGACAGCACGATACAGCTTACCGTCGCGAAGCTGGTATCTCGAGTATCGCCCAGGGTGTTTGCTGACCAGGTTGCGAAGGCGGTCATACCAAGCACCGTGGCTGCCCGGCGGGTTACCATCGTTGTCCACGTCGGATGATGGGTCGTCAGTCTCCAGCTGCGTCGGACCAGGAGCTTCGTCGTTGATAACGTCACCCGCCGGATCATCGCCGAGTGAAGGTTCGTCACCTTCAGCATCGGTTAGGCGTCGTAACCGCAACTGTTTCCTAGCACCGCGTCTGGTTAAAACTCCGACCTCAAACGTAGGTTGATCGGGTTCACCAGACGAGCTGGGCACTTCAGGGACCGGCTGACGAGACAGGGCGTCGGCCACTCTGTTCGCTGTCCCCTTGCGGTACCTTATCTCGAAGTCGAATTGCTGCAACTCCATAACCCACCGAGCCAGGCGCCCACTAGGCTCACTGAGCTTAAGCAGCCATTTTAGGGCGACATGGTCGGTTATCGCAATGAAGTGGTAGCCTTCGAGATAAGCCTTGAATTTCCGAACAGCCCACACAAGAGCGAGACACTCCTTCTCGGTAGTTGTGTAGTTCTGTTCGGCCTCAGAGAGTAGCCTACTGGCATACGCAACGACCACTTCTCGGTCGTTTACACCCTGAGTTAACGCTGCTCCCAGGCCATAATTCGAGGCGTCGACCTGGAGCACGAAGGGTTGGCTGAAGTCGGGACAAGCGAGAATCGGGGCCGTCACCAAGGCGTGCTTCAGAGCTTCGAATGCCTTAGTTTGTTCGGGTCCCCAGAGCCACTTGGCGTTCTTCTTCAGCAAACCTCGAAGTGGAATGGTTACTGAAGCGAACTTCTCGACGAATCGCCGATACCACGACGCAAGGCCTAGGAAACTGCGAAGTCCCTTGACGTTCGTGGGTGCGGGGAAATCCTGAATGGCGCGGACCTTCTCAGGATCCGTGGCGATTCCATCTTGGCTCACGATGTGTCCCAGATACTTCAGCTCCCTACGGGCGAAGTGACACTTCTCGGGGTTTAAACGAAGGCCCGCCTCGCGTAGGCGGCGAAATACAACCCCCAGAAGTTCTAGATGCTCCTCGAAAGACGTCGACACCACCACAAGGTCATCAAGGTACGCGAAGACCTTCGGCTCCAGCTCAGGCCCGATGACTCTATCCAGAAGGCGCTGGAAGGTGGCACCGGCCGAGTGTAGGCCAAACGGCATGACCTTGAACTGAAAAAGGCCTAGGCCTGGCACAGTGAAGGCGGTCACGGGGCGACTGTCGACGGCCAATGGCACTTGCCAGTAGCCTTGCTTCAGGTCCAAGGTACTGATAAACTTGGCCTGCCTGAGCTTCTCAAGGATGGCGTTAATCCTAGGCAGAGGATAGGCGTCCTTGATCGAGGAGTCGTTCACCCTGCGCATGTCGATGCAAAAGCGGTATTTCCCAGTCGACTTCCGGATCAACACGATCGGAGAGCTCCATGGACTCTCAGATGGTTCGATTACGTCATCCTTCAACATGGCAGCTACTTCATCGTTGATGACCGCTTGCATTGCAGGGTTACGAGGGTAGTGGCGCTGTTTGATCGGGACTGCGTTTGGTTTGAGCCGGATGACATGCTCAGTCAACGCCGTGGGTCCCGCAACAGCATCGAAGAGAGGAAGTTCTTTCTCGAGAAAAGTCTTGAGATGCTGTTCTTCCTTTGACGTCAGCGGTTCCAATGTGCCCGTCGCACAAGGGAGAGTCGTGGTCGTGTCGAATGTGCCATCGTTGTTGACGTTTATACATATGAGGTTAAGGTCTCGAATACACCTCATACCTAATACGACGTCCGTGGTGAGCCCAGGCACGAAATAGGCTCCGAGTATGAGGTTTTCACCTAAGATCTGGGCCGGGATGTGGTACTTCGTCTCAATCCGACAACGTGTACCATCAGCCATCCTCAGGTCCGCTGAAGAAATCTCAGGTTTCACCCCACACTCGTCGAAGTGACGAACAACCTCATCCCCGACGAGGTTTACAACTGCTCCGGTATCCAACAGAGCGTGAAATCCCTTTCCAAGGAGCGTGACGTTGACAAAAGGTCGGATGTCGGTCGACTCAGACGATTTTCCAGCCGACACGTACGAGGTGCTCACGTAATTGAGCTCGGTAGAGGTCGTAGGTGGCTGCGCTGCGGGCTCAAGTGACCTCACGATTCCTGAGCCCGATTCGGTAAAGGCCCTTATGTACTGGAGCCATGAGCTCCATTCGTCGGAGGTAGTGCGGCCACGGGACGTGGGCTCAGGCGACCTCCGGCGGCCTGAGTCCGTCTGGCGTTTCCCGCGCGACAACCGCAGCTTGTAGTGGCCACTCCGACTTGCTTGCAGTAGTAACACCGCAACACCTTCGGCTGAGTGCAATCTCGGAAGACATGTCCGCGTGCATCACAGTTCCAGCAGACCGGAGGGTGGCGGTTACTCGATGGTCGGGATGGATTCGTAGACGGTAGGCCCCGGTTTCTATTATTAGGAACGGTGGCTGTCGTATGCTTTGGCTGGTTACCCCCACTCCTTGCAGGGTAATCACCAGTGCGGCCGGTCTTGGGCGAGGTAGGTTGCGGTTTACGGTCGGGCTCAGAATAGTCCATCACCGCAACATCGACGAAACGGTCCATTCGACGCCTGGGCGTGTAGGCCGTCTCAGGCACCAATGCTTGAGCAACCGGAGGGGGAGGGCGGAACAGCTTACGCTCCCGTAGCAGCTCCTCGTATTCGTCGGCTCGCTCGATGAGGTCGGGTAGCGTGACAAAGTCATGACGTCGTATCATGAACTTGTATTCCGGCCTCATGTTCAAGTACACCAGGTCGATAGTTTCCTGGTTAGAGAAAGTGCCGCTCCGTCGGGTCAGGGTTGTCAGAGCAATCACAAAATCTTTAAATGCCTCTGTTTCACCCTGAGTGCGCTTCCGTATCTCGTCATCCAAGTGGCGATGATAGCCAGCCGGGAAGAACTGGACCTCGAATGCCCGCCTAAAGTCGTGGAAGGAACGCCACATCATTTTGTTGTTCCGGTACCAGAGGAGAGCTTGGCCATGTAGAAGTGAAGGCAAAGCCTTCAAAACGTCTTCTGGCGACAGAGAGTAGGCCTCGCGCAGCTCCTCTAGACGCTCCAGGAACGAAACCGCATCTCGTCTGCCGTCGAAGCGCAAGTTCCACTTCCGGACCTTGTCACAGAGGGCGGACGACGTTTTAGCAACGTCATCAGGCCGGTCATCACTCCGTAGGACATACGAAGACCGGACACCTCCGTCTCCATCCCTTGGCCGAGACGGGGCTGTGTATCGGGAGGTTAGCGGGTCGATCCCGTGGACTGGAAGCTCGGCGTAGTCCTCCTCACGTCGTGAGCCCCGCTGTTCGAGGTTCAACACCTCGGCTAACGTGTGCTCTAGGCTGCGCATGTCAGCATTGGGCGATAGGCCGAGCATCTGCCGCATGCGGTCCAAAGTGTGACGTACCGGATCGGCATCAGAATTTTCCGGGAGCGAAGACCTCGGAGCGAAGTCGAAGGCATGTCGAGCGTCAGTCAAGTTCTCTAGCCCTGCGAGTGAGGGTTCATGTGATGCCGAGGTGACCGCAGCAGGTGGGCTCTGACG